CATTCTATGGAGCGCTGCAGACTCCAGCTGCGTGCTATTTCTCGCCATATCTGCATTCCACCACACAGCGGTTTGCGTTGCATCACGGGTCCGGCCCCGCCGATTCCCGGTTGTGATAGATCTCGGTATGAAGTGTACACGGACGAATCTGGAGGTTGTTTTCGGAAACGACTGTATGGACCACCACCCTGGGCTGTCGTCTTGTGCGGTGTGACTCATGATGATAGGCATCGCATTGAAAGGCATCTGGCGTCACCAGCCCCCCACCTCAGCGATGATTTTGTCAGTGCATCGGGCTAGTCCGAGTTCTATGCTGCGCTATGGTTTGTACTATGGCTAGCCCAAGCTCCGCAACACTTTCGGCCCGCCTCGTGGAACTACACACAGAGAACAGCGTAGAAGTGGAAGCAGTAGCAGGAGGTGTGAAGTACCAGTCTTGTGGAATGCTGCCTCGTCTCTTAGACGGTCTCACAAAGTGGCTTCGAAACCATGTTGACTTGTCTTGGGTGCACGTATCAGGGCTTTCGGGGAACTCACTGAAGGAGCTGGCAGATACTCTAGCCAGGTTGTCGTCCATGGGTTTGACGCCAGCGGTACCATACAACGAAATACCATGGGATGTCTTGGTTGATGGGCTGTCGAAGGCACCATGTATGTGGGTTTCCGACCTCTCCATCCGCGGTGACGGGTGTTTGCCCCCAACCGCCCCGGAACGACTACCCAGCTTGCTCCCTCTCCGTCTGTCCCCTGCCGCATTTTTCTCGCCGCCGCAAGTGGGACGCAGTTCGAATGACGAGTCAGCCCCAACTCTCGACGGTTTGCCCACGCTCGGACACATGCGGATTGCGGTCGCAAATGTACTCGCCTTGCGGCCCCGCAAGACAAAAGGCAAAGGAGGCGGCACGCGCATCAGGTGTAGGTATCAGGATGCAGCAGGGATCGACGTACCTGATCGTATGCTGGCACTTGCAGATCAGTTCTCGCCACTGTTGGCAGGAACACTGGAGACACGACTGAAGCACAGCACGTGGCGCACAGCTTCCGACGATCATGCCCTGGCATCGGCTGCTGAGACCTCGGGCCAGCTTGGAGTAGCTCTCTGGGCAAATACATGTCTGCAAAATGCGCTCCTGGACAGACGCTTGCGCGACAACGCGTTCGTCTATGCGCACACTCGTCACGGTACCTTCTCGTTGCCATCGGGGCCCCAGCGTCGTGCGTCGATGTCCTCGCTCCGCACGCGCCGCGCTCTCGGAAGCAGCGAGCAGACGTGGAGGCATGGTGGCAGGTACTGCACCGCGTGGCCCTTTCTCGCCCCAGCCCTGCCCCTCCCCACTGTCCTGTGGATGCCACTGGCGCACTCGCATCTCGCCCCTCGCGCTCCGCCGGCCCTGTCGGGGCGGAAGCGGAGTACCTGGAGCGCACAGGGCAAGCAGCCGCGGCGACCTTCTCTGAACCTGGCTCGGGCGTCCACGGGGCCCGGTTGCCACCGGGGGCCTCGCCTTAGGACCCGCCCCGCAGAATCGCTTACAGTCGTGCCGCTGAAAGAAGGAACGATGAATAAGGAACGAAGCCCCTTCTTGGCCCTGTAAGCGCCTCCGTGCCTCCGGAGGGCAAGAGGAACAGCACCGGAGGAACCTAAGGAACAGCGAGCCCCTTCCGAACCCAAACTGTTCCTTATTTCAGCGTCTTGACTGTATGTAACAATGCCTGTCGAGGATGCAGCGTCGGTGGGAAGGCAGGGGTTGGGCCCTGCCGTCGACCCGCCTGTGCGAGCAGCTGGCCATTTTGTCGCTGTGGCCGAGGTGCTGCCTTCACAGCATGGAGGCGCTGTGCAGACCCCCTGGTGGCCTGAGGCTCCACACTGTCCCCAGAAACGTGACGGCCCCGTCTGTGCAGTCAAATTCTGGGAGACCATCGGGGCTATCCCACGACCTGGTTTCAGTGTTGATCCTGACGATCATGCAGAGTTTCGAACTGCTGCCATCTCGGAGGCAATCAGGGAGCGCGTTCCTCCGCTAAGGTTCGTCGCCAGAGGGGGAGCCGGGCAAAATTGGTAAGCCCCGAACTCCCTCACCGTCGCTCCGCTGGTCGGGCGTGTCTCCGCCGGCTGCGGCGACGATTGGATCAGCTGCGACTTGCGAGTGTGTTTGTTGCATGGGCGCTGGACGGGAAGGAGGCACAGGAGTGGTTTTGCATGCGTGCGTGCAGACACCGTTTCGCATATCGAGACGGACCCTCCCACAGCGTCCTGAGTGACGGTGCCGCAGCAGTAGCGGATGCCTGTGCGTCGGTCTTGGGAATGGTTCGTTTCTTTGCTGCCCCACTTCGGGACAGCATCATCATCCTGCTCATCCGCCGCCCCCTCCTCCGCCATTGTACAAGGTCCCTCTCCGCCAGCAAATAAGCCAAAATCCATGAAATACTGGTTTCCAGGGACGCCCCAGTCGGCGGAAAGAAAAATAATTCGGGGAAGGGATGGGCGGGGGGGGCAGCATGTCTGATGTTGCGCGAGCACGCCGGGCATCCTCCTGCTCTTGACCCTCCTCCTTGGCTCCTCCTCCTCCTCCTCCTCCTCCTCCTCCTCTTCCTCCTCCTCCTCCTTTGCTCCTCCTCCTCCTCCTCCTCCTCCTCCTTCTCCTCCTTCTCCTCCTCCTCCTCCCCCTCCTCCACTCTCGTCCACTCTCGTCCACTCTCGTCCTGCATGGCCCGCTCTTCTCCTCGCCGCCCTTTTCCCCTGGAATCTCTCCTACACGTCGCACTCTGCCTCGCGAGGGGCCTCTTGGCGGTGGCTCGCTGGGGCCTTTCTTCGGCGGGGCGCAGAACGGTGCAGAGGCGGAGGCGGCCATCTGCGAAGACAGGGGGGGGACTTCGTAGAAGGAATCCGCGGCTCCCGAGAGGGCGATCGGTGGGGGCGCAAACGCAGTATCGAAGACACGCCACCGAGGGGAACCCATCCGCGTGTGACTGTTGAAGTGGCACCAGGCCGTCGGGCAAATGCAAAGGAATACTTACTCTGCTGACGGGCTGCCAACCGCGGCGTGTCGTTGATACTCTTTCACCCTCCCGAGCGCATAGAAGGCGGAAAGCCTTCGAAGAACCCCCCCTCCAGTCTTAGAAGACCGAAGACGGCCAACCTCGCGCTACCCCCTTCAGCATGCAGCAAACGTCTTCTGATCTTCACTTATCAGCATGATCGTTAGCATCCATCTCCAATTACAATCAGCTGCCAACCATCACTGGTAGGGTTGCGATGGCTCCGAGAACACTCAAACACAAATCACACATGCAACGGCGTCGGCATGGGTGCGTGCAGCAAACTGACCCCATGAGGTATCCGCGGACCCCCAGCACAAGATGAAATCAGGGAAGGCATTTTGCACAAGACGGACCGAGACTTCGTCTCTTGCCTTGGGGGCGCGCTATACGCCCGTACCATCCTGCAGGCCCAGCAGGCAGCTGGATGAAGAATCTGCGCGGGGAAGTGGCCGATTGGTGCACCCGTGTGGGGAGAGGAGGCAGAAGGGGCACGAGGAGCAGAGCAAGGAGATTGGGAGAGCGGGTGGGGGAGGAGAGGGGAGAGGGGGCCCGAGGGGAGAGGGAGGGGGAGGGGGAGAGAGAGGAGGGGGAGAGAGAGGAGGGGGAGAGAGAGGAGGGGGGAGGGGGAGGGGGAGGGGGAGAGAGAGAGGAGGGAAGGAGGGAGAGGGGGCCCGAGTAGACGGAGGAGGAGGGGAAGGAGGGGCGGGAGGGGCCCCGCAGCTACCTCGAACTTACACGCGCGTCGGCGGGGGGCCATCGGCGAGCGGCAGCCCGCCTCCAGCAGCGCCCGGGCGAGGCGCTCGAACTGGGACAGTTCCCACTGCCTCTGGCGGTGCGCCCGGCCAGGCGCGCCTCCTCCTCCCCCTGCTCTTCCGCCTTCTCCTCTTCCTCCTCCTCCTCCTCCTCCTCCTCCTCCTCCTCCTTCTCCTGCTCCTCCTCCGTCTCTCTCCTCTCCTCCTCCTCCTTCTCGTCCTCAAACTCCTCCTTCTCCTCCTCCTCCTCCTCCTCCTCCTCCTCCTTCTCCTCCTCCTCCTCTTCCTCCTCCTCCTCCGCCTCCACCTCCTGCTTCTCCACCTCCTCCTCTTTCTCCTCCGCCTCAAACCCCGTCTCCTCCTCCTTCTTCTTCTCTTCCGCCTCCTCCTCCTCCTCCTCCTCCTCCTCCTCCTCCTCCTCCTCCTCCTCCTCCTCTCCTCCTCCTCCTCCTCATCATCATCATCATCATCACATCATCATCATCATCATCATCATCATCATCATCATCATCATCATCCTCCAACTCCTCCTCCTCCTCCTGCCGCTCGTCCTCCTCATCATCATCATTATCAGTATCCTCCTGCTCCTCCTCCTCCTCCTCCTCCTCCTCCTCCTCCTCCTACTGCTCGTCCTATTGCTCCTCCTCCTCCTGTTGCTCCTCCTGCTTCTCCTGATCATTCTCCTCCTCCTGCTCCTGCCCCTCCTCCTCCACCTCCTCCTCATCACGATCAGCATCAGCATCAGCATCAGCATCAGCATCAGCATCAGCGTCAGCATCAGCATCAGCATCAGCATCATAATCATCAGCAGCAGCATCAGCATCAGCAGTATCATCATCAACATCCTGAACAGCATCATCACCGTCATCATCAGCATCAGCATCAGCATCATCATCAGCATCAGCAGCATCATCATCAGCATAAACATCACCATCATCAACATCATCATCACCACCATCATCATCCTCATCATCGTCATCATCATCATCACCATCATCATCACCATCATCACCATCCTCATCATCAACATCATCCTCATCCTCATCACCATCATCATCATCATCATCATCATCATCATCATCATCATCACCATCAGCATCATCATCATCACCACCACCAACAACAACATCAGCATCAACAACAACATCATCATCATCAATATCCTCCTCCTCCTCCTCCGCTTCCTCCTCCTCCTCCTTTTCCCTCCTGCTCCTCCTCCTCCTCGTCCTCCTGCTGCCGCCCCTCCTACTTCTCCTCCTCCTCCTCCTCCTCCTCCTCCTCCTCCTCCTCCTCCTCCGCCTGGTCCTCCTCCTCCTCCTCCTCCTCCTCCAACTCTCCCAGGGCTTGGCGTGTGCCTAGATCGTCTTGCCGCGTGACGTTTTCGGGCCTATGAAGGCCCCCCGACGTGCCAAGAGGGCCCCAAGAGGCCCCGAGGACGGTTGAAGCAGCGGGCTCCGAATCGCCGAATGATCGCTCCAAGACGCTCAAGATGGCCCCCAGACAGCCCAAGGGGTCTCCACAAGGCCTCCTAAGAGAGACACCAAAAGGCCCAAATCATTGATTTACCATTGGTTTGTGAAAGTTCTTGCCGTTCCCGCATGTTCGGCTCCCTGACGCTTCCAGAGGGCCCTAGAGGCGAGGCGCCCAAGACGGGCCAAGAGGCCCCAACGACAAAGATAGGGACACGAACGGACATCCCGAGGGGCCACCAGGAGGCCACTAAGGGGCCCTTGCGAAGCCCCCGAGAGGCCCCCAAGAGGCCCCCAGGAGGCCCCCCGGGGGGCCCCAGAACTGCCCCAAAGAGGCCCTCGAAGGCGCTCCGAAATGACCCGCAACCCTGGCACGGTGGCGGGATGGACCGAAAACCATTACATATCTTCCCCAGCGGCGACGAGCGAGCGATGTCTGAGCCGTGAGGCCTCAGAGAAAAGAGAGAACGCCCACCGGACCGTGCACCCCCCCCACAGGAACACTCCTACCAGCGTCTGCTTGCCCCGGCTCGGCTCAGGCCAAATGCCCCCTCGAGAGGTGCTGCCCACAGGCGCAGCCGGGCAACCTTCCTGGCCAGTGCTCTCGACGGAGCCCGAGGGGCAGAAAGGTCGCCCACAGGCAGCGAGACGGGAACAGACGGAGGTCACGTCTACGGAAAGGTCATTCCTGAGGCCTGTTCTCGGGCTGCTGCTGCTGCAGAAGCCCTGCGCAGAGACGCTGCCAGGGGGCTCTACGAGACCAAGTTCACCGAAAGCCTCGGGTACAGTCAAAACTGATAGAAATGTTGCACGATGAGGATGCAAGTGCCTTGGACGCCCATGCCGAAGCTTTTCGAGCGGGGCTGTCCATCGAAAGTGGTTGAGGATGGACCGAAGATCACCGAAGAGGGAAGGATGCAGGGCTACCCATGGGAAATCAATAATCCTTACTATCGGTGTCGACAGTATCAATGATGGCGCCCTTCTCCTCCGCAAGCCGCTGCTGGGCATCCAGAGCGCCTGTGCCAGGAACCTCCGACGCAGCCGAGGATAGATGCGCGCAGTCACGCCGCCAGGGGGAGCCAGCACAGATCCAAGCAATCCGCGCGGAGCCCCGAAAGCCACACCTCCTCCTGCTCTCCTCCTCCTCCTCCTCCTCCTCCTCCTCCTCCTCCTCCTCCTCCTCCTCCTCCTCCTCCTCCTCCTCCTCCTCCTCCTCCTCCTCCCCTCCTCACTCCTCCTGCTCTCCCTCCTCCTCCTCCTCCCTCCTCCTCCTCCTACTCCTACTCTCCTCCCTCCTCCTCCTCCTCCTCCTCCTCCTCCTCCTCCTCCTCCTAATTCCCTTCCCCCTCCTCCTCCTCCTCCTCCTCCTCCTCCTCCTCCTCCTCCTCCTCCTCCTCCTCCTCGAACGCCGAAGAAGGAACGAAGGGGCTTCCCTGGCCACGGAGAACCTAAACGCGAGGAACTGCGGGGCTCAATGGTATACACTACACACCACCACCTCCCTCCTCCCTCATCCCCTCCCTCTCCCAGGAGAGAGGATAGGAAGATGAGGGTGGAGGAGGGGAGGAGGAATCGACGTGGTGTTGGTGCATGTCCTTGGGGCCCGCAGGAACGGCCCCAAGAACACAGAGCCCCTCCCAGGGCCCAGATGCCCCGCCCACAAGCGGAGGAGCACACAGCTTCATGAGCACGCACTTGCGGAGCTCCGCGCGGATCTATGTTTGATCGGCGCTGGAGCTGGCGCGCGGAGCGCCTCCAGGGGCGGCGCCAGAGAGGCCGCCAGGGGGCGCAGATCTCCCCGCGGAGCTCCGACAGTTTCCTCCTCCTCTTCCTCCTCCTCCTCCTCCTCCTCCTCCTCCCTCCTCCTCACTCCTCCTCACTCCTCCTCCTCGTCCTCCTCCTCCTCCTCCTCCTCCTCCTCATCCGTATCCCCCTTGTCACCCGTATCATCCTCCTCCTCCTCCTCCTCCTCCTCCTCCCTCCTCCTCTCCCCTCCTCCTCCTCCTCCTCGTCCTCCTCCCTCCTCCTCCTCCTTATCCCCCTCATCCCCCTCATCCCCCGTATCCTCCTCCTCCTCCTCCTCCTCCTCCTCCTCCTCCTCCTCCTCCTCCTCCTCCTCATCTTTATGCCGATTCTGAGAGGCACCCCCATCAGGGAGGCCTGGAAAGAGGACGGGCCTTCCCCGAGAAGGCCTCGGGCCTTCGGGTAAGCCTCCTACCAGTCGATCCGGGCGTTGCAATGTGATCGCTGGACGTTCTCGCCAGGTCTCGGGCCCCAGGACCCTCACGGATCGATCTGGCTCGAAAAGATGCCGTAGAATGTTGGGGTCTGGGGATCCTGTCGTGATGGTTCGCGATGCTGCATTTTTGTTCGCGACGTCGGATCTCAGGAGAAGCCACTTCTCTGAAGCCACGGCTGGCTTCTCAGGAAGCGCGAAGGCTTCGCATAAGCCGCGCCGCCCTCTGAGAATGCCGGTCCTTTTCGTGCCCCCCCCCCGGGGCGCTTCGCCGAAAGAAGGAGGTTAGGGGGCAACTACTGAAAGGTCTTTGTCGGAAGGATTAATCAGCCCCATTGGGGGGCCGTTGAGTTAGATTAGGAAGCGGAGTTAAGCCGGATTGAACGGGAGTAAGTCGTACAAAGTGGGATTAATCCAGGTTGAGCCGGATTTCGGGCAAAGTCGAAGTCCGAACTTGACACCTCCGCAGTTGCATCCGAGCCGAGGGGGGCGCCAAGACCCTCGGAGGCCCACGCATGCATGAGGACGGCCCTGGGAGCTGGGCCGGGAGACGACAGCTCCCCGAACACCTGCACACGTCGTCGTACCCAGGATGCGCTTCGAGACTCTGCGCGCGTAACAAAGCACTGACGTGCACAGAACAAGCCCAGAGGTGTCCCCTCCTCGCCCAGCTTACCCCCGTTCTCTTCCTTTCCTCGTGTCCCACGAAGTGGAGAGGGTGGATGGTGTGGTCTGGTAGGCTCTGCCAAATCCAAGGGGTCAGCAGCCAACTTGGGAGGGGTAACTCCTAGGGTTGATGTGCAAGACGCTCTGAGTTTTGGGATGTGCTCCCCCCGCCCAAACAGAACAACAAAAAATGCACTTACGTACATGAGTTCTCTGAGGTCCGCGCGGATTTTTCGTGGATCGGCGCTGGACCCCCCGGGGGTGCGCCGGAGGCCACGGCGATCCAAGAAGTCCGCGCGGACCTCCGAGACACTGTGGGTACCAACCCTGCGAACCCAGGATGTCCATTGACTCCTGGCGTGGGAAAGTCACGCCTTCCACCGTCAAACCATCGAAACCCAAGAAACCCAGGGCACCCTGAGGGCAAGCAGGGTGTTCCTTGGCATGGGTATCCACTGTATGCCGCTTCTTCTTCCTCGACCGATGGCAACACGCTCTGAGCTCGCCCCGAACCGGTGCCGCAACATGCCCACGTCGGCCGGGGCGCCGTCGCACGGCGTCTCCACGGCCAGCGCCTCGAGGCCCAGAGGCGGTGCGCCCGTCTGGCCCACTGGCGCGCTGCAGAAGCGTTATGTTTTTTCGCAGGCCGAAGTAAAGATTTGCACCAGCACCAATATCGGCGGTGCGCCTCCACCGATGCAAACAGATCCCGGTCTCGGTGAGGGTGGTAACGGTCTGGCTGCCAAATTGACAAACATATTGCCACCAACACCACAATCTAGGATCATCTTCCCCCTGTGGAGGCAACCCCCTGTGCTGTTGTTGTGCCCATTTCCAGGCCTCCAGTCGTCGCTGCCAAAAACTAGATAGGGGGGACATTGAAAGGTACCCATACCGCTACTCCCAGGACCTCTCCATGGGTGCGTTCCGACCAGAACGCCGAGGCGAATCCAGCGATGGCCACGAGCACCTCCCAGGAGAGCGAGCAAGGGGAAAGCGGGCGAAGCGTAACGTTAGGTCGGGCGTGTCCCCCCTACAGGGGGATGTTCGACGAACCACAAAACTAAAATAGTACTCCAAAAATGGTCAGTCAGAACAATACTCAAAAAATAGTCCCCAGACTATTTTTTACTATGTTCGACCATTCCCCCTGTAGAGGGACGGGCCCGACTTAGAGCACGGGGGCAAGTGGGCGAAGGGCAGCGGTGCGGGCACCTCCCCTCCTCCGAAGGTGGGCCGCGCAACCTGCGCGCATCGCGCCCCGGGAGGCGCGGCCCGCGGGCTCTCTCTCCGCGCCCTCGCGGGGCCGCCTCTGCGAAGGGCAGCGATCCCGCCCGGGCCGCGGGGAGCGCGATCATCCTCTGCTGCGCGCCTGCGGGCTGCCTCGGGCGCCGACGCCGCGCGCACGAGTCAGGAAGCGAGGCTGCGATCGAGTCGTGCGACTGCGTGCGGCCTCTGCTCCCGAAGCAGCACCGCACGCGGCACGACCTGCGCTGGCGCGACGAGGCAGCGTCGAGGCGCTCGCTCGTGCGGTTCAATGCCGCATAAAAACAACGACGCCATGCCCTGCATCAGCCGTCATATGATGCCTCGTCGTGTTGATTCCCTAACGCCTGCCTGTGAGGGGAGTATATATGTGTATATACACACACATATATATATATATATTACTCGAACACATAAACGGATTAAACCATTGTCAAATCGGAAATCGTGCCGGCGACATTACCTTCCGCTGCCTCCCGTTGCCTCCCGTGGCCGCCCGTGGCCTTCTGTGGCCTCCTGTTACCTCCCGTGGCATCCTGTTGCGTCCCGTGGCCACCTGTTGCCCCCCGCTGACTCCAATTGCTTACCGTGGCCTCCCGTTGCTTACCGTGTCCTCCCATTGCCGTACCCACCCGTAGCCCTAGCCCTACGTGTTATCCCGATCCCTCTATCCCTATCCGTATCACTTTATTCCCCTTCCTACCCTATATCCCTATCCCTGTCCCTATCTCAATCCCCACGCCGATTCATACTCCCGCATCCCTATATCCCTATCCCTACATCCCTAGCCCAACGCTATCTCTATCCCGATCCCCCCAACATGACCACCATCGAGGCACCGATCGAAATGTATAAAGCTGCTTAGATCGTAATGTATAAGCTGTTTAGGGCATTATGCCGCAGGGGTGCCAATGTTGTTTGAACGCACAGGACAATACCAACAATCGCACTACGCAGTGCGAACATAAACATGGTCGCGAGGAAGATTCTGAAACTGCATGACCCTCAATTCTGCAACACCGAGCAGTGAAGCTAGCAGGTGCAGTGCGGTGCGGCCACGATGATATTCATGACGACGGTGGGGACGATGACGACGGCGACTGTGGTGGTGAGGCTGATGGGGGTGACAATGACGGTTGTGATTATGTGTCGATGATGGCGAAGACGATGACGAGTATGGTGATGATGAGGATATCGACGATGATGATGATAAGGATGGTGATGCTGATGATGATTAGAGTGTGATGGTGATGGTGATGATTACGATACCGATGATGCGAATCTACGAATACTGATGATAAGTATGATGATGACGACGGCAATGTTGATGATGATGCTGCTGCTGATGATGATGCGGACATGTGCGTGCAGAAAATGACACAGGCGACTACCGACGACAATGACGGCGGCGGGAATGATGACAATGACGATGGTGATGAGGATGACGACGACGGCGATAGCGATGATGACACTGGTGATGAGGATAACGGTTGTGCTCATGAGGGTGGTGAGAGCACGAACGCAAAACATCAGGATGGCTGCAATATCAGTGTTGACATAAGAAGATGTGAGAGAACGCGTTTCACGGGCGCTTGCCTTGGGACCATTCGGCGGCGCGTTTCGAATCGGGGGGTGGGCCCCCCACCCAAACACTCGGCGCCGTCGATCAAATCCAGGGGGACTCCTCTCCACCCCAAACCCCCCCTCCCAATCCCGCCTCGCTCGAGGATGTATAAAGAGAGAGAGAGAGAGAACAAAAAAAAGAGAGAAAGGAAGAGAAAGAGAGACAGACAGAAGCCTCCGAGGTGGGTGGGAGATGATAGGGTAAGTGGATCGTCGACGTCGGCGATGCATAGGCGCCGTCTGCGTGGAGGACATCGGGCTTCACATCGAGCCGCATCGCCGATGCATCGGCGATGCGGCGGAATCCTTAGACACCATCTACTCCGACACCATCTGGGAGGCCTGAAGCATAATTGGATGTCAGCATGCTGCTGAACACCTCTGTCGTGGAATGCTCAGAAAACTAATGGTTCTGAGAGGATTTCCGCGTCCGCGCGGAGACTTGCGTGTGTGAGTGTATCGGAGTGTGAGTGTATATGAGAGTCAGTGTATGTAAATGTGAGCTCATCAGGGTAAGCCTGAGTGCTGAGTCTGAGTATAGATGAGTTTTGGTGCGAGTCTGAGTGTGAGCGAGTCTGAGTATGATCGAGTCTCAGTGTGAGTGTGCCTGCGTGTGAATGAGAGGAAGGAAGAAGGAAGTGAAGCAGAATTCGCCGGCCAACCAGGCCAAGGGCGTCCCAAGATCTCCGGCAACTAGTTAACAGTATTTCTAGTTCGCGCGCGCGGGGCCGCCCCTGGGGGTCCCAAGACGAAAAGTACCGAGGGAGGTGCCCGGGAGGTCCCGGGCAGGTCCCGACAAGGTCCTGGGCAGGTCCTGGCGAGGTCCCAGCCAGGTCCCAGCAGGCTCCCAAGAGCGCTCCAGGAGCGCTTCAAGTGGCCTCCAAGAGAGCTAGCTTAACATGGTCCGAGCAGATCCAAGAGCGTTCCAAGACGCCGAAGATGGCCTCCAGACAGCCCAAGGCACCTTCGAGACGCCTCAAGGGGCCTCCAAGAGACCTCCCAAGAGGGCCCACAGAGGCTGAAAATTAATGATTTCTTTTGACTTGGCGTTGTCGCCTTTTCGGCTTACTGGCGCTCCAAGACGGCCCAAGAGGCTTCCAGGATCGCCCCGCCCAAGAGGCCTCCATAAGCGCCCCAAATGGCCCCAGAGGGTCCCAAGACCGCCTCAAAGGCCTCCAAGATGGCCGAAGAGGCTCCCGAGACGGCTCCAAGAGCGGGCCCAGATGGAAGACCCGAACGAACATGACGAGCTGTAGGCGCACAGAGGTCCCCTGGAGGCCCCAAGAGGCCCCCAAGTGACCCCCAAGAGGCCCCAACACGGCCCCCAAGAGGCCTCCAAACTGCCTCCCAAAGGCCCCCAAGAGGTCCCAACACGGCCCCCAAACGGCGAGGCACACATGGGCCGGCGGAATGAGCGACGCGATGAAAAAAAAATCCCCTCATACGATCTTGGATTGTAAGCAGCTAACCTCTAATTCATTAGTGCGAGCACTGCTTGCAGAATGAGGACGGGCCGTGAGAGCGACACTGGAAGCATGGCCTCCTGAGCCCCAGACGCCCTCGACTCTCGCAAGATGGGGGGGGACGCCCTCAGGGGGAGGGTCGAGATGGGGTGGAGACCCCCCGAGAAGCCTGCAAGAGGTTTCAAGCCTGAAAGCCGTCGAATCAACTCGACAGCACACGCTGTTTGCATACTTCAAGGACTTCGGACAAGCAAGACCAAATACCAAATTCTGGAAGAAGGATGAGGAGGGGGAGAGGAGGAAACGATGGAAGGAAGGAGGGAAGGCGAGAAAGAAGGCTGATTGATGGAATAGCCGCCGTCCTCTGGCCCACTCCCGCTCCGAGTCCATCCCGCATATGCATGTGATGAGCTTGTCCACACAGGGCTCGACATACAGCATGCCGCAGCTATTCGCCCTGCTGCATGAGTGCCCAAACCAGGCCATCCACCGAGCGACGTGGTCACCCACGACTTTCGACCCGAGACCAATGGGCCCCGACCAAGTCAGGTTCGCCAACATGGAGACTTGAGAGTGACATGCGGGGCGATCCTGGCGAGCGCCGGGATCGCCGTGAAAGAGACCTCTTCATCGCCGTGAAAGAGAGATCTTGGCGACCAATCGAGCCTCCATGCTGGCGAACCAGAGCCAAGGCCCCGAGAGCTCCGTGGCCTCTCCGCCGCCGTGCGTGCCGGCACCCGAGCGCACCTGCTGCCGCCGCCGCCCGGCGGCACGAGCCGGGAAGGAGGAGGGCGCGGCGACCGGAAAAACTGCGAGCACTGACCATCCCGATGGTCTGGTACCGGAAATTTTCGGTAGCGATTTCGACGCACCCCGAATTTCGGTAGCGACCGGATATTCGTTTGAGGTCGTTCAAATAGCGGATTTCAGAACGGTCTGATACCGGTATTGGGCGCTACATTTCGGTATTTCGGTAGCGACCGATCTCTGCGGAGCGCTACTGGAAATTTTCGGTAGCGGACCATCAGGGATCGCTCGGACGTCCATTCCCTGTGCTTTTTGTCGGTCTCGTGCGTGGTCTTTTCGCCAGATCAGCAAGGATGCTCCTCGATGGTCCTCGCCGAAGGAGAAATGCACACGTCCGAGCGATGCCAAGGGCAGGAAGGGGGGAAGCCATGCTCTGGCAAAGTTCCCGCATTTGCCTGGGCATCTTCGGGCCACTGCTGGCCCATCTGGCAGCAGCAGGGGCCGCTCGGTGCAGCCACGCCCCCCTCGAGGGCGGCACCCCCACGTCCGCCTCTGAGGGGCCTGCCCGCGAAGGCCCCGCCTGGGGCACCCAGGCCCCGTTGAGGCCTGGGCAAGGCCGTAGCTCTGTGGCTCATGGTCAGCGCCCCTCTCCTCGGAATACCCAGGGTTGAGGTGGCCGCTCGACGGCTCCACGCCCAGTGACACACCAGGCAAAAGCCGTGGCCATAGCCATGGAAAAAAGCGGGAGTCGGGCGAGGGTGGAGCGGAAACGAAGGTGGAAGATGCTGCCAACTGTGAGTGCTCAAACAGAGCCCAGCAGCGCAGGATCACACAGTGCGTGGCCAACCTGGAAGCCGTGGCACGCCCACCACTTCTACGGTCCACCACGCGACTGGGAAATCTGGCATAGATCGCACAGAGGCGATTGACACGAAAAGCCCCAAACATTGACTGTTAACCTTCATCAATCGACCACCGCGAGTCTGCCAGGGCACTGCGACAAACCGCCTGAGCCACTGCCGCGGTCTGCCTGGGCTGCTCTTGCAACCTACATGTAGTACCCTCCTCATCCCTCCTCCTTCCGTCCCGATCGCCACTTCCCGAACACTTCAACCGGAGTGAGAAAGAAGCCAGCGGACAGGAACTCCGAAATCGTCAAATTCTGACTGGGTGATCCCATTTTGCTTCGCAGTCTCCCTGTACAGCCGAACAGCCTGTGACTGGGGATCAAAGTTCAACTTCGTCAACGCATTAGAGATTAGAAAGAACTCGTCACTTCCTACTTGGACCTCACTGCTTCGCAAGAGCTTCATTGCACGACTCGCTAGACCCTGCATCATGCAGGGGTCGTTGAAGACATCGTTGATGCTGAGGAGACCGAGCACCTGACACAAGTTTGTGCTAGACAAACGCGGGATCAATGATCGGGCAACCGAGCCCAGATACTGGACGATTGAATCACTCCCTGCGTCAAGCAGAACCACTGCTTCTAGCACGCAGAGAAAACTGAGTGGATGAATCTTATCGGAAGCACGAGTTTGAAATTCTGCTGTCGCCTGAAAAACAAGAGCTTGCAAGATGCCTTGAGCCTTGATTGCAGTCAAGAAGCGTGATTGCAGAGCAGACTTGTTCCAAAGTCCTACCTGCAAAGAAATGGATCCGCGCCGCACTGTCAACGTGACGTTTTCCTTGAGGGCAATTTCAGCAGCGACCGCCCGTGGATTACCTCTGATAAGGTTGGCTTTCACTATCTGGTCTCCGACTTGAACCATCCATTGTGGGTGCGCGTCGTTCCACTTCTTCAACAAGCCGGCATCTATCCCAGTTATATGTATGGCAGAGTTGGCAAGGCTAGTATTCATTGCGACCCCAAGGCGAGAACCATTTTTCATGAACGAGACTGAGAAAACGTCCACTGGAGCAACATTTAACTGAGACAGGCACGCATAACGTGCACAAGAGAGACAAGTAGTTGACAATTGCCGGAGACGAAGCGGATCTGCCTTATCGAATTGTAAGACCTGAGAGCTTACATTCACAAACATGTCGTCTACGTCAGGGTCTGGCATCGCATACAAACCATATGCCTGCATCAGGAGGATGATGGATTTCCTCCTTTCAGGACCTCCAAGTGCCTGCAGAAGTGTTGGAAATAGGGGTGCAAGAGACTTGTAAATCGCATCGGCTTGAAGACTGCGATTGGTGCCTCTCAAGCCGTAGACAATCTGGGAAAGGGTAAGTGCTTCACCGCCACCGATCAAGTCTGGTAGAGCTTGAAGCGCGGCAAGTGTTGCATGCTCGAAGAGAAGTGAGCGTTCGTCTCCGGACAAAGACATGGCAATAACAGTCCGAAGTTTGCCCAATGACCACATCAGATTGCCCAAATACTTGCCACGCTCGATCAAAGGATCCGCCTGCCTCTTCAGTCGCCCACTCGATCTCCAATCACGAAGATCCTCCATGACCATCAACAGCAGCGCCCTGAAGACAGGAGATTGTCCAACTTCAATGTGGCGCGCGGAAGCAGCACTACCAGGCAGCGCACGTGACCCCAATACAGCAAACTGATATAAGATCGCCGCCCGATGCACCATATTCTCCGTAGAGGACCCAGAAAGCTCAAAGAGCTCCCGATGGGTGCGCGCTGATCTGATCCCTTTCATCAGCAGCCCGGGAGGCATGCAGGCACAGCTCACACCTCGAGCTGAGCGCTGCCGCCCGTTGCGCAGAAGCTGCGGACCACGAGAGGAAGCGCTTCTGAGCACCCTCGGGCGCAGCAAAGTATTACACCCGCTCACGAAATCTGTCGGAGACGCATTTTGGCTGCATGCAGCGATCACGATGGTAGCGAGCACACCGCGTCGTCGCCGATGTGGCACCATCTACTAAGAACAAGAAACGCGACACTGCTTTGAACTCAGCTGCAGCTAAACTTGCTTGAGCCAACATGGGTACCACACTCCCTCCCTCTCCCCCCCTCTCCCCCACCATCACCACCGCTCCCCGTCGTTCCCTCCCTGCCTATCGCCCTCCCCGTTCCTCCACCCCCCTCCGGAAGTCCCGCGAGGCAGACAGCTGGCCTGAGGGAAAATTGATCGCCCACGGCTGTGCTGGAGGCCCCATGTTCATAGCCTCTAGACCGCTTTTGCATGGGCCTCGAGGCAAAAACTCGGCGGTGGACAAACCTCCCTTTAGCAAACCTCCCCTTGGTGAAAACGGCCCAGGACCGAGACCGACGGACCTGGACCCGCAAAAACGACGGCCGCGACGCCCTCTCGCGAACCGAAACGGCCAATGCCTTAATCGACGTGTCAGGGTAGGATGTCGATCAGACTCCGACACACAAGTCTGATGCAAGGTCTGTCTGCGCATCGCGCTGCACGAACCACCCTGAGCACACAGGACAACCGGCGCAGGGCCGTCAGGAGGGCGGCACCCAAGGCAATGAAGCGTTGAGGTAGATGCCGCCCCCGGGGGTCCGGCCCGCGAGGCCGCGGAGACCGGGCATGCTGCTCGCCCACGACTTTTGCCTGCGGCCGAGGACTGGCCGATTCCGGAGACCCTGAGCCCAGAAAGATTGCCATCTCTTGGGGGCGCATGTTTTACTTCCGCCGGCTTCTGCCGGCAGAGGCGGCCTCGTTTGTAGTTCCGCGGCCTGCCGCCGCTCTTCCGCCGCCATCCACCGAGGAACCGATGGCAGCCCCAATCGGTCCTCCGCGGCGAGGCTCCTTCCGGAATGCCTCATATTTGGCGGCGCGCACAAACGGAAAGGGGAAGGGGGAAGACTTCTTAGAAGGAGGCTGCTTCTTAGAAGACGCCAGCCCTGCATCTACATATAAGCCTCGCACCTTCTTAGAAGCAGGGTGTTTCTGAGAAACACTCCCCTAGAGGCCTCCTGGATGAGGTCGGAGTCGATGGGGTCGGAGGATCGCGCCGCGCGCCGTATCGCCGGTACATCGCCGATGCAGCGGCGACATCGGCGATGCATCGGCGACGCCAGCGTGGAGAAAATCGGGTTCCACATCGAGCAGCATCACCAATGCATTGACGACACGGCGCGATCCTCCGACCCCATCTACTCGGACCCCATCTGGGAAGCCTAAATCGCCCCCCCGAATGGGGAAACCAAAAGGTACCCACACCGCTGCTCCCCGGACCTCTCCTGGGGAGAGTTCTGCCCAGAATTTCGTGGCGAATCCAACGGTGGCGACGAAGGCCTCCCAGGAGGTCCAAACA